TTGAAAGCCATTGCCCCTCCTCCTGTCCCCCCCTGCCCTTGTCAAAAGTCCCTCTGTAGCTGTGAAGCCACAAAGCCCTACTAGGTCCCAACCAAAGATCCCTCTTCTTGCCTTGAAAACAGTTTGTTGGTGGTGAAGGGAACACGGATTTCCACTCTCAGCTTGCCTGCTGTGTAGATGCTGCAATTAAACTCCCGTTTCATGCTCTAGTTCTCCAGATGGATAGGTGCTTGGTCCTCGAAGGGGATCACAGAGTTACAGAAGGGCAGGATCGCTGGGGCTAAAGGTGTGGGCTGGGACAGAGCCGCAGCCACCGCTTTGGGAACAGATCCTGAGCACCTGGAGCAGGCTGCCCTGAGCTGCCTCCGTTTGGGTTTTGAATGTCTCGAAGGCTGGAGACTCCACAGCCTCTCTGGTTTGGTCTTTTCTTTATGGGGGGGGGGGAAGCGCTTTTACTTATGTTTCAACAGAATTTCTTGTATCTCAGCTTGCACCTCCACGCATAAGGATTTATGCAGCCTCAGTGGCAGCCTGCAGCAAGCACTTCCAGCCCCGACCAGACCTTTATTAGCAGGGATAATCTGCCAGGAGGCTTGGTAATTAATCAGCCTGGAGCTGCCTGGTGCTGGCCTCACCCCACCCCGCTGCGGGGAGTGGGCAGGGTAGAAGAGGGGCAAAGCCGGGGCTGGCATCTCCGTGCCCCAGCTCCCTCCTCCCAGACCATGCCAGAAAGCCCTAGAGATCTCAGGCTGGCACCGGAGCAATGGTGGCAGGTCCCCTTGCCTCACCGGTAACCCCGTCCCTTGGCCAAGCAGGTGCCAGAGGAGCCAACTGTGTGTCCAGGGCTGTCCTGGGACTCCCTGCCTCTCTTCACCGAGCAAACGCTGTTTGTCGGAGGCTCACGTCTGACTGGAGGTAGCAGATGGTAATTCTGCTGTAATACTTCAAAACCACCTACTCGGGCAGGGAGAGGCTCACAAATTCATTATCTCGGGCAAATCAGACAGAGATTTAAGCTGCAAAGAAGATAAGAAGATTGTTTTACCAATCCCATCTTTGCTGTCTTCCTGGTGGCGTATGCATTTCCCCGGACAGGGGTCTCGCATGAAAGAAGAAGGCTGCTTTTCTGGGCGTTCAGGGTGGGATCCCCACGTGCCCATCTGCAGCCCAGCAGGCAGGGAATTATAAATCCTTGCCCTGGCTCGGTGGGGGCACTCAGGATATGTCTGACAGCCAGCTTGGAGCCCACAGGCTGGGCTCATCTCCCACTCAGTGTTACATCACCGTCTGCAGCTGGGAGCCCCAACATCCACACAGCCGACCACCCTTGCAAGAGCAGAACAACCCCCCAACATCCTTTTTCTGAGCCAAAGAGATCAAATTTATGCAAGGGGCTGCTTCGCGTTGCATGGTGGGGGCTGCAGGTTGCTGCAAGGCTTTGCACCCTCGCTGCACCTTCTGAATCCCAGCCCGAAGGACTGACCATCCCCGCTGAGAAAGGACAGCTGGGGGCTTGCCCACGCTTTCAGAAAAGGTCAGTGTAGGAGTCCAGATCTCCAGGACCAGCTGTTGCCTCCACTCCATCCCAGCAGAGCCATTCCAGTGCACTCAAGTGTTAAAAACTGGCATTGAATGAACTCTTCCCTCTAATCACAGCATTTGAGGTCAAAACCTCTGTGTGCCGATCGTGCTGCTCGCTAGCCCCATCTAAGAGCCATCCAGCATCTCTGCAAGCCCCCTCCCCAGAGCCGGGGGCTTGCTCCGACCTCCCTCTGCCGCAGGCTGGAAGCACCAGGCTGGGATTGCTAAAAGCAGCGAGGAGTGGCTGCTCCCTAGAAATCAGGAGCCGTCTAGGAGAGTGCTTCGTGGCATTTCCCAGCAGCAGATATGTTATCCCAAGTTGCAAGACTGGTAATTCTTTTCTTCCTGTTAGGTGATTAAGTAGAGGTGATTAAATTATAATTATAATTAAACACCACGTGATGTGATTAATTGCCCTGCAGGAGTCATTGAAGCCCAGGTTCATTCACCGCAGGCGGCTGACAGGTGCTTCCTTTCACCTCCCCATCGCTCCGGGCCGCAGGGATGCTCACGGGAGGAGGTGGTCCTCAGCCCAGGTCATTCGAGCGGTGCTGTGCCTATGGAGCAGTGGGCACACAGGCACTGGGATTCATCGACTGCGGTGCTGAGGACACAACTGTGCTTTCAGAAATGTTAAATCGCTGCTTATTGCAGCTTTTTTCCATCGCGCTGCAGCTGCAGATGCTGATGCAAAGCTCATCTTTACTGTCTGTAACATCCTGAATAGCTGTGGTCTCTAGAGCTGCGTAGCTTTGTTCAGTCCTACTGGAGAACTTTACGCAGCTTTAAAGCTCTTCCAGAAAAAAAAAAAAAATTATCTGCCTTGAGCACGTTCCTCTAAAGCATAAAATCTCTCTTTCTGAGCTGCTCTGCCAGTCTCCCATGACAGAAATCCTGCTGACACTGGGTGCAGACCTGCACTGTCTCCTTCTGCGGGGATTCAGCGTGAGGGACCAGCCAACCTTCAAATACACCCTTGCGATATCGGAGCCTCAACCCTGGCCTCCCCGCTGTGTTTCAGGGAAAGCCAGCAGAGCCCACGGACACCAGCCAAACCACACGCGTGCTTCTACTCCGCTGCTGCTGGGATGCTGAAACATGTTCCCCTGGGGCACCCATCTGTGGGTGCATCCGTGGGGCAGCCCCAGGCAGAGCTCGGCATGCTGTAGGGAGCCCTGCCATGAGACGTGCAGGATTTATCTCCTCTCCCCAGCACACCTCTCCCTCTGAGCTCATCCCCAGACTCCCACTGCAGCCGGTGGAGAAAATGAGGCAATTCTGCAGCGGGGTCCCTCTCAGCTGATGAGCAGCTCAAACAGATCGTTAGTCGGAGCTGAAGCTGGGGGAAGCGGTGTGTTCATTCCTTTTGGAAATACCAAAATACCAGACTCATTCCTCCTCCGGGGCGGTTGGGTGCAGCTGCCGGGGAGCCGACCCTGCAGCCCGGCTCCGTGCCAAGGATGGATGGAGCAGCCCCATAGAGGCTGCAGCAGCAGCTGGGTGTCTATGGAGGTAGGCGTCTGCTTTGTGTGGGGTTCATAAGCTGTCATTTGGAAGCTGTCTTAATTAAAGACAGAGCCTGGAATTGCCCTACTGCTCTGAATAATGATGTGGGTTAAAAATTTTGAGCTAAACAAGTGTTCTTCTTGTTCGCCAGGTTTTCAAAGGCCTGGAATTCGGTGTATGACTCTTGGCCAGTTCTGCCTTTTTCTATTCCCTTGAGTCTTTGTGTCCCTTCCCATCGCCCTGACCCCGTCCCCATGCCTACAGAGCATCGAAGCCCGTTTGCCCAACGTCTCCCAAAACCCCGCAGCTCCGAGCAATGCTGTTCTCCTTGTCCCCTTGCAGGTGGTGCGAGACCAGATTTCTCACTGCACGGTCAAGCTGCGCCAGACCACGGGCCTGATGGAGTACTGCCTGGAGGTCATCAAGGAGAACGACCCCAGTGGCTTCCTCCAGGTTGGTGTGGACCTGCTCACGTCTGGGCTGCGAGGGGAGCGGGAAAGGCATCGCATAGCCGAGGGTCCTGGGGTAACACGGCCGAGTTGGGGGGAGTTACACTAAGGATGATGTCCTCAGCTTTTCCAGCCATAAAATCAAGGGCCAACCTCTCATCACCTCCAGGCTTGCAGCAGGACTGAAGCACAACCAAGCCAGGGACATTTCTTACTCTGATCAGAGGAGTAGAGGGTTGGGGCAAACGGTAGTGTATCTCTGGAGCAGTGATCATAACCTGCTGTCTCGTGGCTCTCCAGCGAGAGACGGACATCCAGCACCTGAGAGCTGCATCCCACCGTTCATTCCTGGGCTGGGCCCTTTGGTACTAGACCCTGCCTTTAAAATCATCCCCAAAGCTCCTGGAGTCCTTCTGCCAGTCTGAGCCTGTGGCGTAGGGCGATGCTAGAAACCACGGATGATTTCTAGGCACTGGAACAGGCTCCCCAGGGAGGTGGTAGAGTCACCATCCCTGGAGGTGTTCAAAAAACGTTTAGATGTGGCACTTCAAGACAGGGTTTAGTGGGTTTAGCGGGCATGGTGGCATTGGGTATACGGTTGGACTTGATGATCTTTGAGGTCTCTTCCAACCATAATGATTCTATGATGTCCCAGCCTTTGGCAGTCGGGGGTAGAAGTGGGAGCCAGGGAGGGAAGGAGAAGAGCAGAGGAGGGACAAGGCACAGCACGCAGCCCCGGTGGCCCGTGGTAGCTGAGGCTGCTCCTTGCCACCAGATCTCCGACGCTCTCATCAGGAGAGTGCACTTAACGGAGGACCAGTGGGGAAAGGGGACGCTCACACCCCGGATGACCACGGACTTCGACCTGAACCTTGACAACGCCCCTCTGCTGCAGTCCATCCATCAGCTGGACTTCGTCCAGATGAAAGGTAAGAATATTTCCAGTGCTTTTCAGAAGCCCATCTCTGCTCTCACTGAGTGCTTCCATGCAACTCATCACGGGGAGGGGGCAGGAGAGGAGAGTTTCTCCTCTTCTCCCAGAAAGGTTGGGCACCCCAGATGTTCCTGTGTGTTTTGCACCCCTGGGCCAGCCATCTGTCTCCCTGTGTCGGATCCCTGGGCAGCTGTGTGCCAGACCAAGGTGCCAGGAGGTTGGTTTTGCCTGGCAGGTTGGGACCAGGGTCTCGGGAGCAGCACGAGGCACTTCCCAAGCTTCTGCTCACACACGCTGGCTTGCTTGGTGCTGAGCAGCATCTGGCACGGGCCGGCTACCGAGGTGCCTGCTGTGGGTAGCCCCAGTATCCCTCCAAACACAAAGAGCCACGCCACTTAGCTTGGGGTCTTTCCTACCTGCCCTCTCCTTGCTGTTGTTTTAGACCTTCATTTCAGTTTTAATTTCCTCCTCATTCTCTGTTCCCTCTGTGCTCACTCTCCCGTACCACGGAGAACCACTGCATTTGCATCGCTTTGCCGGAAAGAGAGAGCCGCCATAACCGGCAAGCGATTTGCAATTTGGCAAACCCTGGGAAGCTGACAGAAGATGCAAATGGGCTGTGACGCAGGGAAGCTCAGGAAGACATTGAACGTAGGTCTGTACCTTCAGCTGGTGCAAATGAGCTGCCTGGAGGAAAGGCGACCAGCTGCGGGTCTGGCGTAGCTCTTCATTGCCGTCACGGCTGGGTTTCCTGACTCGGGAGCCATTTGCACACAGCAGCATTTCTCAGCGGTCAGACACGGGAAGGCTGTTGACCAAGCACTTCCTCCATAACGATAACGAGCATCTTCAAATAATGGCCCGGCTGGTATTTGCTGCAGTGAGAAGGGTGCATTGGGCATGGCTGCTGGGAGCGCTTGTAGTTGCTCATCATTAGCCAGGCTGTTAATTTGAAGTGTCAGTAACATTTTTTGAGCCAGACCCAGGGAGGGCTGGATTACTGTTTTGCTTACACACCAGTCATGGAGACATTAGCATGTTCCTGCCTTCCCTTCTTTCAATTTAGCCCAGAGGGTTATTTTTAATTAATAAGAGCAAATCTGCTGCTAGTTTAGCAACCTGCCATGCTGTGTGGAGGCAGGGCAGAGCTGACAGAGGCTGTCCTCTCCTCTCACCCTCGCCATGGAAATAAGTTGTTGTGTTTCGTAGACTTTCCAGAAGGTTGGGTTCGGATCCCAAACACGTGTGACAGCACCGGGGGAGGCAGGGCAAGACCAGAGGTCTTGATAAAGAGCAGAGGTGAGCAACGGGTACGGGGCATTGCTCAGCCAGGTGCTGGGCAGGAGCAGCATCCCTTCTGCTGTATTAGCTGTAACGCGAGGGCTTTCTCCACTCGGTTTCTCCAGTCCCTCAGCCTGCTGGTTCCTGAGGATCCAAGCCAGGAGGTGGAGGAGTCGCAGCGAGAGGTGTTAAACGGTGAACCTTTGCCAGCGAGTCTGTCTTTTCTCTCCCGGGCATCTGTGGCTCCTCCACATCTTGTCTGGATTCTCCATGTCTTTTTTTTTTGCTGGCTCTTGTCAGATTCTGGACAGTGAGGATGAGGATTGAGGACAAGCAGCTCTGTTGAGAGGTTTGGGAGGGCTGTCCCCAGCCAGGGGATGGGATGTGTCAGTGGACATCCTCTTTCCTGTCGTCCTGTCACCCTCCGTGCTTTTCAGAGCAGGGATGGGCTGCGTTACACATGTGCAGATGCCATCTGAGCAGAAAAAGCTCTGACGGTCCTCTCTGTCCCCTGCGTAGCAGATGGGAGGCTATAGGGTACACAGCCTGCCCGCTTCAGTTCCAGCTGAGGTCAGGGACTGTCTGGTGCCTCTTTGGAGACCTCTCCGAAATGTCCTTGTGCCCGTTGTGCCTCCCCGGGAGATGCTCAGCAGCAAGGGCTGTTTGCTGGCTGGGCTGGCAGAGGGAGCAGCCCTGGGGACCCCAGAGGAACCCCCGGAGGGAGTGCTGTGCTTGGGACAGCGTGGAAGGACCCGGAGCCTTTTTTGGCAGGTTGAGGGCTATCATTCCTTGGCACTAAAACAGCATCGTTGAGAGACACGCTCATCTCTTCCCCAAGTCTCGCAGTTTGTGCGGTTGCCTCTCCTTTTAGGACAGACTCTACCACGGCAAAAAAGCTCAGGCCCTCCCTGTTCTGCAGGTCCCGAGGCTTGTCTCTGCTGCTCCGGCATCACTTGCTTGGTTGCCGTGAATTTGTTTGATGGAAAAGCAGAGCGGTGCTTGCTGCTGGGCTGTAGGTAAGGCCAGGCCCACGGCTGCAGCCAGCTCTGCAGAGCCTGGGGGAGAGTGGCCTGGGTTGGGGACTGCCTGCTGTGATGAGTCCAGGTATGTTGTCGCGCTGCCATATGTCACCAAAAATGCATTAGAAAACAGGAAGAACGCAGAAAAACTCTGGGGAAAATCTCAGGAAATCTTCACCAGGCTACGAGGTGGAAGAATTTGATGGAGAGCTTGTTTGGAGAACAGTCCTTCCTGCCTCCTCCCCACCTCACACCCACAAAATCACAGTCACATCCCTTATGCCTTGCTGGCTTCCTACCGAAGCAATAAATGCATCCTCCACGCTCCAGCTGAAACGTGCTTACCATAAGGATCCCCCGGCTCCTCCTCTGTGGTTCTAGCAGCCAGGCTTACACTAACTTGTGTTTAGTTTCCTCCCCAGTGCCGGCCCCCCCGATCCTGCAGCTAGAGGAGTGTTGCACCCACAACAACAGTGCCACTTTGTCCTGGAAGCAGCCGCCCTTGTCAACAGTGCAGGTGGAAGGTTACATCCTGGAGCTTGACGACGGCAACGGCGGCCAGTTCAGGGTAAGTGCTCGGAGCGGGAAACCAGTCCCACCGGCAAGGTGTTGCTCCTGGCTCCGGTATTGCCCTGCCATGAAGTGACCAAAGAGTTCCCCAGACTTTTTGCAAGTCTCCTCCTTCCCTGGAAACATCAGAGTCGCTCCCGGGGTGCCCGGGGAAGCCAACGGTGCAGACAATCTGCAAGCCCTTTTGGGGGGCAAGGTTATTTGAGGCAGTAGAAATAACCTTTCCGGTGACCAATATGATGCAAAGAACACATTTGAAGCTCCGTCTTTTTAGGTTGCTAAATATTTCATGCAAGGTATGCTAATTGCCATGAAAGACTCATGGTTTGCCAGCTGCCAGCAAGCAGAGGTGTTTAAGGCCTGAGGGCTTTTGAATTGCTGTAATTACACAATTAAAATATGATTTTCCTCTGATCCGCCACGCTGATAATTATCCTGGTGTGTTCACATCCACCAAGAGCAGGCACAGGGACCAACCCATTGGGTTTTCTGAATTCATCCACAAGAAGCTCAGGCAGGCAGGAGCCAGAGCAGAGTCGAGGCAGAAGAGAGGTGACATGGGTGGGATCTGGAGAGAGAAGGGAGCAGAGGGCTGGATTTGGGGAGACCAAGGCTCAGCACAGCCACCCCAGCAAGGTAAGGGCAATTCCCCAGTCTTCTCTCGTCCCACCAGCAGTGGGACGGGGCTTGGATGTGCATGGTATTCCTGCCGCTGGGGTTATAGGGGGCTGCTCCAGCCGATGAGGGCAATTTCCCAGTCTTCTCTCGTCCCACGAGCAGTGGGAAGGGGCTTGGATGTGCATGGTATTCCTGCCACTGGGGTTATAGGGGGCTGCTCCAGCCGATGGGACACGGCTGGGGCCATGAAAGGGAAAACCTCTGGCTTTTCAAATCCTTTAGCCATGGTGCCATGAAAGGGAACACCTCTGGCTTCTCAAATCATTGAGCCATTCTCCTGCCTGAATGCCAGCGAGCTGACCATGTCAGGCAGCGAGTGCCGGCGGTCATACCGGTGACAGTCCCTGCCAAGAGCGGGTCAGTGTGTAGCCCAGCCTGGTAGCTACCTCCCACACAGACAGGCAGGAGAGACTGGGACGGTGTCCTGAGGCAAGAGGACTCTGCCTTTGGGCATAAAGGCAAAAAGGGGCTCCTTCTAGTGAGCCTGGGGTGGTCAAGTGGGAGCTGTGCTCTCTCATGGGGTGCCGGCTGCAGGAGATCTCTGTGGGTGCTGGAGCCCAGGTAGACGAGGGTCACCTTAGCGTCCCATCGCAAATCTCACCCAGTTCGTTAGGACACCTACATTGTACTCCTTGACCCCAAGCACTGCCTCGTTGATGTTCCCAGGGTTGCTGTGGCTTGGGCTGTTCCCAGCACCGGTCAGGGAGTCAGGAGAGGTGAAAGCCATCATCTCTGCTCTGCAGTGCAAGGGAGCCCGCAGGCACCCCGATAAGCTCTGGGGACGTGCACCCACATGTCAGGAAAGGGGCCAGATTCAAGCGTTGGCTCTGGAAGCAGCAGCACCCCATCACCCCGACAGCTTGGGTAGCGAAGCAGAGGGGGCTCTGGGGTGGGAGCTGGGCAGCGAAGCTTTCCCACGCAGGCAACCTGCCTGCACAGAGCCTCCTTCTGCGCTGCGAAGGGCAGCAAACAGGGCTTCGTCCTGGGATGTGCTAACTACAAGTCAACGCTTTGGGAGCCGTGTGTTTTGGTAGCCCGTAGGCCTGTTCACTGTCCCTGCTCGCACAGCTCCGTCCCTCTGCGTGGGGCTATGGCAGCAGAAGTGTGACACACAGGTGAGTCAGTGCCTGTTTGGTGTCAGCACCTTGTTGTCTTTCAAGGAATGCTTTGCTCCTGCCACCCAAGAGCATGGGAAGTTGTTTTCTGCAAGGATATTTCTGTGTCCTGGGCTCAGGCTGTATATGTTCTCTGGCAGAGTTCTTCTGGGAGTCAGTGGAGTTTGGCTGGGACTGACACCTTATGACTTGGTCCAATATGAATAGCATCTCCTTCCCCTGCAGAAACTGGTTTTATGGCACAGTATTCATAGAACCATGGAACCATAGGATGGGTTGGGTTGGAAGGGACCTTTAAAGGCCGTCTAGTCCAACACCCCTGCCATGGACAGGGACACCTTCCACCAGACCAGGTTGCTCCAAGCCCCATCCAACCTGGCCTTGAACACTTCCAGGGATGGGGCAGCCACAGCTTCTCTGGGCAACCTCTGCCACTGCCTCACCACCCTCACCGGGAAGAATTTCTTCCTGATATCTCATCTAAGTCTTCCCTCTTCCAGTTTAAAGCCATTGCTCCTTCTCCTGTCACTCCCTGTCCTTGTCAAAAGTCCCTCCCCAGCTTTCTTGTCGGCCCCTTTAGGTACGGGAAGGCTGCTCTAAGGTCTGCCCGGAGCCTTCTCTTCTCCGGGCTGAACAACCCCAACTCTCTCAGCCTGTCCTCACAGCAGAGGTGCTCCAGCCCTCGGATCATCTCCGTGGCCTCCTCTGGACTCACTCCAACAGGTCCATGTCCTTCTTGTGCTGAGGACCCCAGAGCTGAAGGCAGGACTGCAGGGGGGTCTCACCAGAGCGGAGCAGAGGGGCAGAATCCCCTTCCTCGACCTGCTGGCCACGCTGCTTGGGATGCAGCCCAAAGTATTGTCAAGGAACAAATCATAGGGTCATTTTGCTCTGCTTTAGCTATATCCAGTGCTCCTAAGTCTGTCCCACGTAGCAGAGCATGGCTGAACGCCATACATCACAACTGCTGGGGGCTGTTCTCCCACTCCTGGGACCCGGTAGTCCGGGCACTAACTGTGTTTGCTTTGCAGGAGGTGTATGTGGGCAAGGAGACCATGTGCACGGTGGACGGGCTTCACTTCAACAGCACGTACAGCGCACGTGTCAAAGCCTTCAACAAAACAGGAGTCAGCCCGTACAGCAAGACCCTGGTCCTCCAGACATCTGAGGGTAAGGCATTGCATCAGCTCCAGCCCGACGCACTCGGACCCCACTCACATGCACGCATGGGGCCCATCCAGCACACCCAAGCTTAGCATTGCAATCCGGGGAACCGCTCCGCTGGTCCTCCAGTACCTCAGCATTCACTGCAGGAAAGCCAGCGCTGACGGGAGGGGAAAGGTCATGTCAGGACCCTTGAACAGTGCCAGAATTTCTCTCTCACCCTTTTCCTTTGCCGAAGATGTTCTTTGGGGAGATAACAGTGAGAGGCATCCTGCAGAGAAGTATTTCAAATTTGATTGCAGCAGGGTTTATGTAACACAAAGGGAAGCTCAGATGTTTTCATTAATTCCATTTAAACCAAAACAACCCTGTCAACATTGCTCCTGAGACGCTAAGGGCCGTGCATGGCTGCACAACGCCATAACCGCACGATGTCTCCTTCAGCCCCTGGCAGTGCACGACCGAGAGCGGAGGGACCATGGAGCGGCACGGGTGTCCTTGCAGACCCACGGAGCATACGGCCGGCCACACCAGCATCATCTGCATCACCCCCGCACCGGCAGGCACTCGGTTAGAATATTAAACACTCCCTTGCAGGTTGCAGAGGAATCTCCCCGCCTGACTTTTAAGTACATTTGTCACACCAGGCACTTAATCCATGGTGGAAAATTGGCTTGCTTCTGACATGCAGGTGGAGAGTCATAAGGCTGGCTCCGAGAAATGAGGTGGGAGTCAGAAGCAGCGGGCGATGCAGCTGCAAAGGAAGGAATCGCCCCCCCCCCAGCACGTCTGCCGCCCCGGAGCCTTGCTGCCAGGCGAGAAACCCCTCCTTGGGAATTTTCCACGCTTGGTGGAATCCCTTTTCCTTACTCCCAGACTAAAAATCTCTCTTATCCAAGCCATGTGAAGATTTGGTTTGATGGCAGCATTCCCAGACCTGGCTGGCAGCTGGCTCTGGAGCAGCAGCATGTTCCCGCAGCCCCCGCATCAGCCAGCAGATGCTGGAGGGAACACACACAGTTCGTGGGGCTCCTGGTGGGGTGGAAGGAGGGCGAGAACCTTCTTGCTGCAGAGCATCTCTGGTGGCTTTGAGCAAAGAGAAAAAAGGGCTTTCTGCTAAAAGAATAGAAGACAAAAGCAGAGCAAGGCTATGCAGTGTTTTCCCTTGCTTGCCTGCACTCATCTGCAGGAGGTAAGGGTTCCAGTTCGGAAAGGGCATGTACCAGTTTTGGGTGTGTGGGCAGGAGAGGTCAGTCAGGAATGGGACTCACATGTGGCAGAGGTAGAGTGGAGGGCAAACCTGTGACAACCCTTCTCATACGAGAGGCAGAAGACTCAGATCGCAGACCACAAAGGCCTCGGCCCGTCTGTCTGAGAGCTGTGCACGTGTTTGCAAAGCTGAGCATCGGCGTCAAGGAAGCCGCAGCGTTCCACTGGAGATCCAGGGATGGGCCAGCCCAGATCCAGCCCTGCGCAGGGGTGGCCAGGACCGCTCCCAAAGCCTGAAGGTCAACAGTTCTCATCCACTTCACTACCCAGCTTCACCAGCCTTTGCAGGAGACAGCAGAGCTTTGGCTTCTCATCACATTTGTGTCTCGTAAGACCCATTTGAGACACAGTTTCCTAACCAAAACCAGTTGGGCTTTAAGTCATCCCAGCCAGGAGCTTGCAGGGTCCCCACTGTGATCTTTCCAGCTCTGCTGTCCTCTCATAAGTGTTTTCACTGTCAAGCCAAGCTCCCCTATTGTGCAGCTCCAAAATACGAAGGAACCTGGGAGAAAATAGGAGTTCCTGGTGCCAGCAGGCCAGGCTGTGCTTGGGCCGGTGCCTTTGTCTGGGCCAGCATGCAGAAGTTTCACTCTTCCAAGCATCACCTGAAAGTTTGCTGCATTCAGCCTTTTCACTGAATGCGCTTTTGTGTTTGTTATTCTGGCACGAAAGAAAGAGGGGGGAAAAAAAAGTCAAATGGGCCTGGAGGGTTTTCTGCTCTTAGAGGCCGTCTGAGCTTTTTGGACTCAAAGTGAAATAAATTACATCTGCGTGCAGCTTCTGGATAGCCGAGTGACTTGTTGCACAGTCACCTCACAGATGGCAGCTCTCGGTTAGGCTTTTATTTCTGGCCTTTACAGCAGCGTCAGGCCTTTAAGTGCCATTTTGTCTGAAGTAGGCATAGCTTTCCCCTTCAGCCCTGCTCTGCTTGCTGCAAAGTGTTCGTGCAGGAAGAGGGGACCAAAGAAGAGACGAGCTCGATATGAAGAGAGCATCTCTCCGAACGCGGCTGTCGTGCTGTAAGTGGTTATGAGAAATTCTGCTTAGAGGGTGCTATTTAAAAGCTGGTTTCTAGTCCTAGCACACAAGATCCTTATCTGCAGCCCGTGGAAGTTGACTGAAGCCTTTCTTCTGCTTTCAGTGAGCGGTGAAGTGGGCTGTAGAGGCTAGCGGGGAGTGAAACGTCTTGCAGGGTCTCAGCATCTGAAGAGATCGAGGATGAGACGAGTGTAAAATTGTGTCTGGATGTCTGCAGGCATGGCCTTGTGGTCCTGCCCAGCCAAACAGCCAAGGCAAGCCAGGCAGCGCCAAGGGGAATGTCCCACAGGGAGTGGGGACACGCGCAAGCCTACAGCAGGGTGCGGAGAACCTTCCCAGCCCGTGGTGTGGCACGTCTTCTCCTCCTCATCCCAAAGGAAACCTCCAGCTGAGGAAATTGCAGTTCACTCTTCAAAGCTGGTGCTTAGTGCCATGAGCAGGGCAAGGTGGCTCCTGGCTGGGAGCAGGTCTGTGCCCCAGAGCCCTTCCCATGTGCTGGACCCTCTGGGGCTTCCCAGGGATGGACATCCTCACCATCAGCACAGCCAAACGACGGCAAGGGCTGAAGGCAATGGTCCTTGCCGTGAACTGTGTCCTCTCCCTAGCTGATGTCAGGCTGTTTCACAGCAGCCCTAGGACTATCTCTTGCCCTGTCATGTCTTAGTTCCTCCCAGGACCGGCACTGCAGGCTCCAAGGCACTGCGATGTGGGGCCTGGCTTAACCTCTCTGTTTCTTCAGCACCTGAATGAAATTCAGCTGTAGGCTTGGAAATCAGTCTGGAAGAAAGTTTGCAAGGTGACCCTGTCCCAAGGCACAGACATCTTACAAAGCTGGGCTGGTGGCAGTGCTGCTCGGCTGTCTTCATCCCTGGGAGACCTCAGGTCTCGCCCCAGCCTCCTCCTCCCTGGGCTGGGCAGCCCCAGCTCCCTTGGTCTTTCCTCATCCAGCAGATTTTCGAGCCTCTGGCCAGTCTCCTGCTGACTTTGGGACCCAGTCTGGTTTTTTCCCGGCACGTTCCCATTTTCACCCTACCCTCAGCCGATGGTTCCTTGGTGCGTTCATGGCCAAGGCAAGAACAGCCTCTGAGAGGCTTTGCAGAAGCCCCTGGCTCTGGTCTGCTGGTCATGGTGGGATGCAAACGGCCGCTCCCAGGAACAGGCACCTGATGCGCGGTGGCAAGGAACAGGGGGGCAACCTCCTGGTTGCAGTGGGATTAACCTGCAGGTGGGCTGGCTGCTGGGCTGCTTTTCTCCACAAGGATTTCTGAGATGGCTTCTGAGTCCCTCCGGTGTTGTTTTTTATCATGAGCTGTCTGGCAAGCTGGATGGCAGGATGAAGGACCAACTCGCCCCAGGTGGAGATGAAGAAGAGGAGCTCAGCAGTGCTGGAGGGGACTGTCCCTGCTGGCTCCCCAGGCCCAGATCTGCACTCCTGGCTGGTGCAGAGGTTTGACCTCCCTCCTGCCAAAACCTGCTGCTCCATTCTCACGCTTTCCTGGGTCTTTTTGACTGCCCACACCTTGGCCCTTGCATTGGGCTGCTTTGTGCCTTCAGCCACACTCTCCTGGGCACGTGGTGCCCGTGCTGCCGGCAGCCGTGGACTTAGAGCCGGAGCGGGGGAAGAACTGTGTCTCTGCTCCCCCTTCTCTCGGCTGCTCTGAGTCTCCAGCTTTAGGCACGGCTGCAGAATTTCAAGGCGAGCCTGGTTTTGGCTTCTTGTATCTTTGGTGAGACACAAGTCGAGGAGCAGAAGATCAGAGAGGAACACCTGGCTTGTCACACCCTGTGCCCTGCCGTCCCCTCTCCCGTGTTCCCAGACTTGGCCGATTCTGCCAACACCACAAGCATCCGCTCCCGGCCGTCTCTGCCACCCTGGGGATGTGACAAAGGAGTTTGGGCACCACAGCCTGAGAGCCCTTCCCCAGCCTAGTCGAGCACCAGAAGCTTTTCTTTTCTTTCAAGCCCAGTTCCTCTTCTGGGGCCCAACTTCAAGTTCCTTACCAGCCATGGAGCGATCTTCAGCAGCAACCGGGGCTTTTTAACCGGCACCTTTTGGAAGAGGGTGAACAACACAAGGGGAAATGGTCTACAAGGAGCTGTAGGAACAGAAGATGCTAGATAGGGAGAGCCATGAGCGTGGCTACTCTTGGTAGTAGTTCCTCTCACTCTTGGTAGATGTTAGAGGGCACGTCCCTCCCTAACCTTGAGCTCCGTTTATTGACCTGTTGTGCAATAATTTCTCTAACCCGTGTCTGAACCCACTGACACTCTTTGCTTCCACAGCCTCGCGCAGCAGCAAGTTGCAGAAGTTACAATCCGCTGTGCGAAGAAATGCTTCCTTTTGTCTGTTTTAACGTGATTTCCAGCTCAATGCGTATTCACAGCTGAGACAGGAAGGCTGGGGGTACCGTGTTCGGGCGTGTATCTGATTTGAATGTGTGGAGGATGGTGGATTCTGCATTTTCATGTTAACATGTCCCTTGAGAAGGCTAGGGAAGAGGTAGTAGGAGGTGACCATTTGTGGTAGCGGGGAACAGAAGCCGACGACCCGAGAGGTTCCCTCTACTCTGACGTTTTGCTGTGAATCACATGAGTTAAATTCTTACTGTAAGGCTCAGATGTGTTTTGACAGGTACAAAGGGATACCAAGAACACAACATCCCGAACAACCTTTGAGTAAGGTGGGTGCTTGGTGGTACTTAGG